TCTATGTCTGTAAAGCTAGATTTAATGCGTAAAAGCTCAAGTTTTTCAAATATGTTTAGCGCCATCTTCTGTCAATATGGAACATTACATCGCCATGACAAACGTGACATGAGCTAATCAAATGTTTGTGATATGTCCTTTGCAGGATCATGGAGACAAAGTGGCAAAGAGTCTAGTTCTGCTGTCTACCAAACAGAAGGTAACTTTTGTTTCTTAAAAATCCAATAAATTTTCTGACTGATATAAAGTGTTCTTTCTATCGTCTTAAGTTTTATGAGATATGTTGAACACTGTAACAATGAGGTGCTATTAGGACCATATTTATTTCCGCACTCTCTTTGCACATAGATAACTATCAGTGGTCGACATGGTTCAATGTTGATCATCCTGGAGGCCGTGGAGATTATGAACAGCTGGATGCCATTCGTTTCTATTACCGTACCCGTGTATGCGAAACTCCAAAGGCAATCGAAGCCAGAACCACTGAATGGATCCCAGCGCGTGAAACTGGGGAGACGGTCCATGCAGACCCGACTGTGGGCTTCTGGTGCCTGAATGAAGAGCAAGGTCCCCAGCTCAACTGCTCCAACTATGCAGTCCGTTTCCTATGTCCAAAAGGTTTGGCCATGAACATTTTTTTCTGTTTGCCTCTGTGCAGTAAAAAAGATCTATTTTTTTTTTGTTTGTTAAATTTTTTTTTTCATAATCTAAGTAAAATTACTTTTCAGAGTACTTCTATATTTTTTTTTTCTTTCCCCCAGCACATAACAGTATTAACATTCAGGGAACCTGGGGACCATGGTCAGACTGGAGCCCATGTCCTGCCCTCTGTGGCCAAGTGGGGGTGCAACTTCGCCATCGAAATTGTCAATCTGACTCGCTGCTGTGCAGTGGGCCAAAATTAGATGGGAAAGCATGTAATGGACCTGAGTGCCCAAAGACAGGTGAAAAAAAGGCTTAATTAGGCTACACAGATAATAACATAGCACATATATGCAATTACAAATTTGTTACTAATAAACTTTTTCTTGTTTTTATGTTACTCCTTAGCTTGTTCCCTGCAGTGTGTGATGGGGCAAGCAAACTCTGACTGTGAATGCATGTGTGAAGAACACACAATGTTGGGTTCTGTACGCAGCGCTGGTGGTCTCGTCGCCAAAGGGGCCGCCATCCTTCGCTCTGGCAAATTCCTTACCCTTACAGACCACAATGGACATTTCCGCATACCCAATATCTGCCCTGATGGCAACACAACCCTGACTGTCAGGCTCAAGGGCCATGCCCCCCTTGATGTTGTTGTGCCCAAGAGCAGTGAGCGTACCTCTGTCCTCAGCGTCCAGCTAAAAAGAGCCGGTAGATGTCTATAGAATTACTTGTGGATCCAAATATGAAAGAATAATTCTGAACTGCATATTTACTAAAGTACAATCTGTTTAACATGTAGAGGTAATATTTTATTTCTGTTTTTTAGAGAAACTTCATGTGTTGAGCAATCCTGAAAGCAAGGTCAGGAGGGCAGGACAAAGTGCTGCCTTCTGCTGCAAAGTTGCAGGAACGCCACAGCCGGATGCATACCAATGGTAGGACTAATTATATTGGAATTTTAGACAGTAGACATGTTGAACTCCTATTGAATTATTTCATTTGTTTTGTCAACCAACAGGTTTCACAATAACACTCTCATGGAGAAGGAGTCAGAAAGCACCTTGGTCATAAGAGATCTGCATCCAGAGCAGTCTGGAGAATACTACTGCAGAGCAAGTGGTCCAACTGGAGCCATTAAGACTAAAACAGCTACTCTCAGGATCTTAGGTGCAGTATTAATTAAGTGAAAACACGTGCTGAATACACAGAAGTGAGAATTTTAGCATACGCAAACTAAATCATTTTAATTTCTTCATCTAAACACAGGCAGAGATGAGCATTCATGCAACCCTAAACCTGAATCCCACCTCATCCGCCTTCCACACGACTGCTTCCAAAACAGTACCAACTCATTCTACTACGATGTGGGCAAGTGTCCCCCAAGTAGATGTGCTGAACAGCTCGACAATGGTATCAGGTGCAAAGACAAAGTGTCTTATTGCTGCGGTGTGGCAAAAATGGAGGAAAGACAGCTAACATGTCAGGGCTACCAACTGCCCACCATGGTGGTGACCAAGTGTGGCTGCCAGAAATGTGTGGACACTAAGGCCATTGTGCATGGTAGGGCCATTGCTGCAGACAATGGAGAACCAATGCGGTTTGGTCATATTTTTATGAATGGAGTCAGAATTAGTCGTACAGGCTACAAAGGAACCTTCTCTATCCAAATCCCCCAAGATACAGAGAGGCTAGTATTAACCTTCATGGACAACATGCAGAAATTTGTCAACACCACAAAAGTGCTTCCATTTAACACCAAAGGTGGGGCTGTTTACCATGAGATAAAACTTCTCAGAAAAAAAGCCCCTGTGACAATCAGCTCCACAGAAACCAATACTCTTGAGCTTGGGGAGGTAGAGAGCCAGGAGCCAATGGTTCAAATCCAGATTCCTCCCTATTCCTTCTACAAGGAAAATGGCGAAGTCTTCACGGGTAACGTCAGTGCTAGTGTAACATTTCTCGACCCCAGAGACATCTCCACAGCTGCCGCAGCTCAAAGTGATCTAAATTTTATCGGAGATGAAGGTGATACCATGCCACTGAGGACCTATGGCATGTTTTCAGTTGACTTTAGAGGTGAAGAAAACAACGAGCCACTGAATGCAGGTGAAGTAAAAGTTTCACTGGACTCTGCTCAGGTTCAGATGTCAGAGCACCTCAACACCATGAAGCTGTGGTCACTGAACCCTGAAACTGGTCTGTGGGAGGAGGAGGGGAGTCTGCAGGTAGAGAAGAAGAAAAGAGGCAAAAGGGAGGAGAGAACATTTTTGATTGGTAACATGGAGATCAGAGAAAGGCGACTGTTTAACTTGGACGTCCCAGAGAACCGTAGGTGTTATGTGAAAGTTCGGGCTTTCCGCAGTGAACGGTTCATGCCCAGCGAGCAGGTGGAAGGAGTTGTGATCAGTCTCATAAATATGGAGCCCAAAGCTGGCTACTCCACCAATCCCCGTGCCTGGGGCCGATTTGATAGTGTAGTCACTGGTCCCAATGGAGCTTGTCTTCCTGCTTTCTGCGATGAACAAAAAGCTGACGCCTATACCGCCTATGTCATGGCCAACCTTGGTGGAGAGGAACTGGAGGCTGTCCCGTCTGCTCCCAAATTCAATCCCAACCTCATTGGAGTGCCTCAGCCTTACCTTGGTAAACTAAACTACATGCGATCTGACCACGAGGACCCCAGAGTGAAGAAGACAGCATTCAGCATCAATGTAGCAAAACCAAGCCCCAACACAGCCGAGGAAGGTAACGGACCAGTGTACCCATTTGAGAACTTGAAAGAATGTGAGGAGGCCCCATTTAGTGCAGCACACTTCCGGTTCTCAAGAGTCGAAGGAGATCGCTACGATTACAACACAGTGCCCTTTAATGAAGATGACCCCATGAGCTGGACAGAGGATTACCTAAGTTGGTGGCCCAAGCCTATGGAATACCGGGCCTGCTACATCAAGGTCAAAATCAACAGCCCGCATGAGATCAATGTGCGGTCCCGCAACATGGGCGGTACCCATCCCAAGACTGTAGGCCAGTTGTACGGCCTTCGAGATACTCGCAGCATTCGCGACATGGACCAGACATCTGTTTCAGCAGTGTGTCTGGAATTCAAGTGCAGTGGGATGCTGTACGATCAGGAACGTGTAGATCGTACACTGGTGAAGGTGATCCCACAAGGAAGCTGCAAGAGAGATCATGTCAACTCAATGCTTCAGGAGTATTTAGTCAACCACCTGCCCCTAGCTGTCAACAATGACACCAATGAGTTCACCATGCTGGCGCCTCTTGACCCTCTGGGCCATAACTACGGAATTTATACGGTGACAGACCAGGATCCCCGCACAGCCAAAGAGATTGCACTTGGTCGCTGCTTTGACGGTACTTCTGACGGCACATCTCGGGTCATGAAAACCAATGAGGGCATAGCGCTAACGTTTATTTGTGGAGACCGTGAGGTTACACGCCAGAACGTCTTTCAAACAATGCAGCGCTCTCAAGGTCAGACAGTAGGAACAAGCATCGTGAGAGGGGAAAGCAGGCAGAACCGGCGCCGGCAGAGGGCAAACGCACCACGCAGCAGTCGTAGACGTAGCACCAGAAACCCTGAGGGAAAACGTACAAAAGCCAGAAACTAGACAAGAGGAGACCTAGGAACATCATGAAGACCAGACGATGACTTGCTAAAATGAAACCAGATGGTGTTAACATGTTTTTGTTTATACATCCATAAATATCCCCCACCCCCACTTGAAGAGTAACTAAACTGTTATGCTAATTTCTTGCATCTTCATCTCAAGGAATATGTAATGTTTCTTCCTCTCACTTTACATTACTGTGGCAAATATTTACTTGAAAATGTAAATAGAGTATTTATTACACAAGTATTATCATCTTTCCAACTGTACTATAAACAAGGACAAAAACAATATTTTTTTGACCAGTGATTTATTAAATTAGATGCTTATAAAACACTGCAGATGCTGTATCTTCCACATTGTATGTATCCAATTGTCCATGTAACATTTAAACTGGTCAACTGCTTAAAAAGAAAAAAAAAAAAAGACAGGAGAAAAACTCTCCTTTCAGCCAACTGTAGCCCATATGAAGACATGGTGGGGTGAAGCCCATAAGCCCCCGCTCCTCATCACACTTGATACAAGCCTGCAGAAGCAACAATTAGGAGACCAGTTGTAGCAAGTTAATCCACTTGCCTGATCCATACTTTTTTGCATTAGTAGAAATCAATTAGTAATTTTCTGTCATGCACAAAAAACAAAACAAACAAACAAAAACAAAAAAAAACTAAGTACTGTTTGCTCCATATTTTCAAGGATATTCCAGAGATATCAAGAGAATGGCTGTGAGGTTTTAAAGTCACATTTATTATACTTCTCTATCCCTTTTATCTTACAGTGAATGTTGTGTGCTCTCTGCAAGCTTACAACTACTACGTTCATATTGCGTCAGTCTCCCACAATGCAACCTTTCCAGAAATAAAGATGAATAATGGACTGAATAATTGTCTGCATTTGGCAACTGAAGTTATAGATACTATATACACTTGCCTGTAAGAAAATCATCCACAGGTAAGTGAGACCTATAATATATACATGACATTCTGTTTAAAGGATTTGCATAGAACCATGTGTTTCTATGTCACTAGACTTATAACTGCAATACTGTATCTGACATTTTGACAGGAGCAACATTTAATTTAAAAAGAAACAAAAAAACCAAAACAAAAAACAAGCCCTGCAAAACTCAGATAACAGCAGTTATGGTAGTATTCTCCGTTGTAGCTGGGTCGAGCAACAGATTCCGCGTGATTTGTTTGTGAGTTGAGGCTGAATGAGAGAGAAAAGGCAATTCCATTTGCATGGAAGGAGAAAAGAAGAAGAAGAAAAAAAACCCGTGAGTGGTGAGACTGGATGCTCCCTGGTATAGTCCCTCTGGTCACTGAAGCAAAATGAAGGGGGCAAGACACAGTTCAGATTTTCCAGGATGGCACTGGACAGCATGAGAAGGTACAGCTGCATTTCTGACAGTCGGGAGAAGGGGAAAGGGCAGTAGTGATGAAGCCAGTGTCACATGAAGTCCTCATAGTCTTGGGCGTAGCCTCCATCAAACGCTGCATAGTCAAGGTCATCTTTGAGCTGTGCTTTCAAACCACCTCCAGCTAAGACCCCCTTCTTCTTCTTTTTTCCTTTGTTTTGCTGTAGAAGGCAAATAAAAGCGACTTAAACTAAATACATATATATTTGAAAACGACTATATAACTAAAAACTTTTGCCAGAGTTTACTTTTTTATGATTGGACATCAAGTAAGTATTGGGTGAGTAGCACCCCCTGCTGAATAGAAACTTAATTAACTTAATAAATGCAAGCATGCAGTCACTTACTTTTTCTTGTTTCTGTTTTTCACTAAGTAGGACTGACAGGGAATTACTGATTTTCTTCAAGTCATCTACTTCCACTGTAAGAGGAAGAAAAATAAGTAATTATTGGACAAGCCCAGTGCATTTTTAATTTAAGACAAGTGTAATAAAAAATGTTCAGTAAAAGCAGGAAAAAAAGACTTACATGAAATACAAAGTTCCCGAAACAATGACTCCAAGAAACTTGAATAATGCACAGATTTTTCAAACTGGGTTATCTTTTCTTTTAGCATTTTTTCAAACTCTGTGAAGTCTTCTTTGGAAGATGGACACATGGCATCAATTCCAGTGACACTGTTTGAAGTGCTGCCAACACCTGAAAAATATTTAAAAGGTCACCATTACATACATTAATCACAACAAGATGAACAATATCAGGTCTCAAAAATCCCATATCTGTAGTATATACTTTTGTTAGACATGCTGCAGTTTAAAAAACACAGAGTCTACAGCATCAGGACCACAAAACACAAATATTTTCCTCAAATCACAGCTTTCCCAAAGCATGTGTAAAGATCTTACTTAAAGCTTCAGCTTTTAGAGTCCCCTCTAAACATTTTACAGATAATAGAATGGTGCATTGTTCCTTTGGAGGTGAGGTATAGTATGTGGCATCTACAGCAGGATTACTGGGACATCTGCGTAAACTGTAAAACCCAAAGAAGTATTTAAGCCTTTTAAGTCTTAGTTAAATGTTAACTACAAGCAACAGCGACTAATGTATTGCAAACTAAATGTATTGCATCAGTTACACAACCTGATTTTGTGGAAGACCTCATATTCTTGATATAAAAAAAAAAAGTTTCTACACCTGATTCGGTCTTACCAAAAGCATCTTTTGCTAGCTCCAAGTCTGCGTCTTCCTGTAATTTCTTCACTCTTAATTTTTCTGCCAGCTGTTCTTCAGGAGTGAGCTCGTCTTCCTGTAAATAAAAATGTAAGAGTTAAGATATTATTAGAGATAAACGAGCATAGAGTCAGAAGGTTTACAGATGAGAAAGTGGGACTTACTTCTTGCTGTTCCACTGCCTCCTGTTGTTTCTTCTTCATCCGGTTTTCTTTCTCTTTTATCTTTTCACTAAGCTTTTTCTTTTCAGAAACCTTTGGTTCTGCAAATTAAAATAATGACATAAGAAACATAAAATCATTCAGTAATCAAGTATAATCCATTAGTGAAAGGCAAGCGGTACTGGAGTACAAACCTGGTTTCTTCACATCTGTTTTTTTCTCTTCATCTTCTTCATCATCGTCCCAGTTGTCCTGTGAACACAGAACGTAAGGTGTGTAATTGTTGCCTTTTTATTAATATCTATGCTAGAAGTTGTAAATATATAGCCAAAGATGTACAATATAACCAAAAATAAACAAAACAAAAAAAACAAACAATAACAATTTTTTTCTGAGCAACATCTTAACACCTACAGAGTTAGACAACTTTAAGAATGTAAGTTAGTTCAAAGGCTGCAATCAGTCAGAATTTTTATTTTAAAATAACAAAAAATCTAAACTTTTTAAAACTAAAATTATCAGTTATCGACATGCAACAGCTGCCACTTCATTTTCTGAAGATGAATAACTTTTGTTCTACCTCTAGTTCAAATTATTCTAGTCCTGATTACACTGGTGCAGATGTATACAAGCTGGATCGATCAATGTTACTGATCCAACAAGGGTAATAACTGTGTTACAGTACCAGGATAAAGAATAAAAATAGTACAGTCTACAGTCAACTTAAAATACCACATGCACACAGTGAGTGCTTAATACTGTGTGATAATGCAGAACTTGTATATATTAAACAGTGGTTAAGAATCAAAAAAATATAACAACATTAAAGCTTAAGATTCTGTAATTCATGACAATGAGTTACGAGTTATGACATCAGTGTTAATTTATTAATTTAATCCTTTTTGGCTGCTACCTCAAAGCACACTGTGCGCTGTCGATCTTACGTGCTGCACAATAATGTTTAATATTTAGTATTTACTGTTATATTCACATAGATCATTGTGATGATGTCGTTTATTATAGTGCTCTCTTTTTCTTTACTTGTTTTCTCTTTTTTCTTTCTCAACAGGTGATCCAGGTGATTGATATATGTATTTGTCTGTTTGTTTTGTTGGTTTTTGCCCCTTATCACCATCCCTCTTCCCCGCCCGTTCACCTATAAATTATTAATTTATAGGTGATGACTCTTCAGACATCACTTGGGTTGTGATCCTGTAGATTGCTGTCTTATATTAAGATCCACCTTAAGTGTCACTACAAATAAATGTAATCCTATTCAAGAAGACACTAATTTCTAACTGAAATATCCAATACTTTAAACTGTGAATTACTACACAATAAACATTTGACAACTGGCCTGTTGCATTTCCAGCAGGTTATGAACAACAACAGCAGCAGCAGGATGAAAGTCGCCTGGGAATAAATGTAATTATCTTGAGTAAAAATTAACTTTGTGCTATTGTCTTATTTCCACAAAAATCTTAACCCTTCTTCCTAAACAATGACCATTTTGTACTACAGTGGACATAAAACCGCCAGGCTCTTCAGTCTGGACGCCATATGCGACAGAAAACGGGAGAACTGAAGAGGCCTCTGCCAGCACTTTCCACAGGATCAATTATCTGAGGCTTCTGGACAGAGACCGTGCCAGCTTTCACGTAGCAGCCACCTGTATTACGGTATCAGCTGAACAGCGGCTTCCTACTGCCTGCTGTAAAGTCGGAAAGTTCCAGGCCTAGTTCTTGGCTGAGTTGAGTCATCAACCCAATGGATGATTTCATCTGAATGGGGCTAAAGTTGGTTAGCACGCTAACGCCGCCTCATACTCAACGTGACTCAAGCTGTGGGTTTGCCAGAGTAGACATAATTATGCTAATCTCCAATAATCGTTTAATGTAACTAAATCTGTGTAATAATGGGATGGACCTGTATATTAGGAACACATGACCAAATCACTCAATACTGAGGTTACCCAACATTAAAGCTTATTTACAGACGCAACAATACACGAGTGCTAGCAGACTAGCTAGCTCAAGTGGCCCGTCCGGTGAGAGATTTGCTTCAAGCACCGCTATCAAAATTCATGACACCAAGAGAAGTAGAAAACACTACTAACGTCCAAAATTTGATTAAACCCATAAGTATGAACTGGCACGCCATTATTCAGTTTGTTAACAATACGTTGAATGACTGAAACTCGAATACCAGCATACCGTTAGCTGAGCTAGAGTTTCCAGAGGCTGCCTGTTGGAGCCACATGAGTTAGCATAAAGCTAACAGGGGTTCGGAGGTTCGGACTGACAGGCGACGAGAAACCACGACGAAGCGTGGCATTACATCCTATCGCTTTCTCGGTCAGCTAACAGCTCGCAAACAACCGGTGGCCGATTTTAAAAAGCGGCTCAGACTGTACCGAGTGTTCGTCACGATATTGTACCTTAACATCTTCATCTTCGTCCTCGCCTTCCCATTTGTCCAGCGCTGCCGCCTTTTTAATCGGTTCCTCCGGCTCGAAGTTGTCAGCGTCTGTAAAAACAACAACATGAGAGTCGTTAGGTCAGTCCACATCTGACACCCGGAGTTAACAATGAGAGGTGTATTAGGCCCTTAAAACACCGAGTGCGACAAGTAAATGTTGTACAGATAGCCATCCTTCCCAACTTAGTTTCTCACCCCAGTCCGCCATGTTGGCTGTGTTGCTTGTGTTTGACAGGCTCGCTGTACAGTCAGTGCAGCAGCCCGTTGGCCACGTTCAGAAACAGCTCCCACCTTCTGGGCGGCACTCCGGCCTTATCTAATGTCCACGGAGCACTTTCAGCACAACGACCCCGATATAACTAATCTCATCACGCCTTTATTTATTTCAATTGTAAACATGAGACGCTACAAGCTAGCTGAAGCCAAGTTCCACACATTTTTAAGTCGAGCATTGTAAAATAAGTGTTAAAAGTACATTTTACATAATTCTTACATAAAGAGTCAAAACCTATTCTTAATCTCTTTTGGATACATTTGGATACACTACATATTATTTTAATCGAAGAAAAATAATTAATTAATAGCCTTAATTTTAACTGAATCTCATAAGGGAGTATAATAAAGTATATACATTAAAAATAGTTTTTAATCATTCTTGTGGAGAAAGCGCAGTGCCTCAGATGTATGATATTGATGGGAATTGAAATGGAAATGGTGATCAATAATTCCTCAGTCATATATTAAAATAGATAATATTTTTGAAGGAGCAAGGTTGAGCTGGAAAGGATGTGCAGCAGGTTAGGGTGCTTGAGATAGAGATGGAAATGTAGTAATGAATAAAGTTTGCTGAGAAAGTGGAAAGGCTACTTTGAGGAGCTCATGAATGACGAAAATGAGAGAAAGTTGAGGATAGATGGAGGACAGTGAATGAGGAAGTGCAGAGGATTAGTAAAGAGGAAGCAAGGAAAACTATAAATAGGATGAAGAGTGAAAAGGCAGTTGGTCCAGATGACATAACTGTGGAGGAGACATCCAGGAGAAGGGGCAGTGGACCAGATTAGAGTGTGAGAGGATGCCTAGGGGATGGAGAAGAAGTGTACTAGCACCCATTTTTAAAAATAAGAGTGATGTACGACCCCTAAATGAAGCAACTGAAAGAAGAAAAGGAATTCTTTATACGACCCTTGCAAATGTGATTAATATCCAATTACCTATTGCAAAAGATCTAGTTTCATACACTCTTTCTGTTTCATCATCAGTGATCATGATTTTGACTTCATTCCTTATTTGTCTGTTACTAAATATGATAAGCTTTGTTTTGATCTGATTTATTGCTAATTTCAACTGTATTCAGAAGCTATTCCAAACTTTTTCTATGGTATAAACAGTTTAGAGCCCTCCTTGTTGAACCTCACAAAACCGGAGTTATTATTTATTTGCACACAGTGGTATCTATCAATGTGGTAGCTATTTAACCAGGAATGTGCCATCCCGTTGATACCATTATCTCCGGTTTTATCTTTAGTAATCTGTCATCTCTAGTGTCAAATGCTTTTTGAATGGTGAACAGAACTGTGGGTAAGACTCAGCTCTGTTAACAAGCAATAAAGCAATAAAAAGAGTCAATCAGAGGTAGATTGGTTCAGTTTATTGATCATTTAGATTCATTTTAATCACACCACCAATTGTGCACAACAGTACAAAACTCACAGCAACAACAGATCAAAGTTGATCAATACTAATACAATCAGGCCCTACTAAGTATTGTTTTGTAATCAAGATAACTCAAAATAGACAGATATATAGAAAGTGTTATCACTATTACTCACATAAACCTATAGTTCCCCAAAAATAAATAACTTTGTACAACAGATTTCTCTCATAATAACTGCACAACAATTATATTCTAACCTTTATCATTTTAAGTATTATTTCTAGGTATGGCATCCCTGAGAAGGATATATATGGGACAGTGTTTAGATAGGTTTGTACAAAAATAAATAAATAGTCTAGGATCTGTGGGTATCAGATAGACTTGCTGATTAAAACAAACAGCTCCTACTCTCTCAAACTGTTAACTTTGTTCTTTCAGTGCTAAATGTTGATGGTGAAGTAATAGTTATGCAAGATCAATTACAGTGTTGGTAAAAAGAGTACGGAAAGCTTTAAATGCTGTTTATTTCAAAGAAATACAGCATTGCGCAGAAAGACAATCATCATGTGGATGAGGGGGTCTCCTGATTCGGCTGGGGTGAACGAGGTCATGTGTCAGGGCAGAGCAGGACGGTCAGCAGCATCAGCAGTCCCAATAAGAGACACAGGGGGCTGTGGCTCAACGCCAACCCCAGTGACCTCCCTACAGGAATTCAGCAAAAGAATTACAAATGTAGAGCTATGCAAAAATATAGTTCAAGCAGATTATCTGACTTAGAATATCATTAACAAAAAAAATAATCACAGTGAAAAATGACAATCACATCACTGTAGGCACTCTCTTCACACCTAGAGTATCCATGCATAGCATATCCAGCAAGGCATAATGTTCATAATCTCTGTTAGAAAAGAAAGCACACTGGAAACATCTAGAAGTACAATGAGAACAAAGTGCTGAAACCAGCAAGCAAACAACAGCAGCTATTATCAGCCTTGATTTTGGGAGTCAAATTACAGTAATAATTTATACACTCACAGGTCACTTTAGTAAGTAAGTAAGTAAAATTTATTTATATAGCACTTTTTAAGACAAAAACGCTGTTACAAAGTGCTTCACATAAAAACATGTCAAACGAACAATATAGCAACATAGAGGAAATATAAAAGCATATCAAACAAGCAATAGTACAATATAAATATAAAATAAGACAACATATTACCCAAATGCCTGTCTAAACAGATGAGTTTTAAGCTGTTTTTTAAAAGAGGCCACCGTGTCGATGGTGCGTAGTTTATTAGGTATAGCTTGCTAGTACTGGTTTGGTCCCCTTTTGCCTTCAGAACTGCCTTAATTCTTAATTCCTCACAGATTTTGGTCTATACTGACGTGATAGCATCACACAGTTGCTGCAGATTTGTTAGCTGCACATCCATAACGCGACTCTCCAGTTTTACCACATCTCACTGGTGTTCTACTGGATTGAGAGCTGGTGAACTCCTCCTACTGGAAACTGCCATCAGAAGATTGTACACTGTGGTCATAATGGGATGGATGTAATGAGCAACAGTACTCAGTCAGACTGTGGTGTTTAAATGATGCTCACATGGTACTAAGCGGCTCAAAGTGTGTGGAAAAAATGGGCAACAGGAGCAGAAAACAACTCTTGTCAGCTAGGAACAGAAAACTGAGACTGAATTTCACACTGGGTCATCCAAAATTGGACAAACAGATTGGAGGGTCACAATTTGGCTTAAAAAGCATGGAAACACAAAAATGATTGTTGGTTCACTGTGTTCAAAGTTCAGGCTGCTGCTGGTGGTGTAATGGTGTGATAGATATATTTCCGTAGCACACTTTGGGCAGGTTAGTACCAGCTAAGCATTGTTTTAACAACACACGCCTACCTGAGTATTGTTGTTAATGTGTCATGTTCATCCCATTATGACCACAGTGTAATGCACTATGTCACAAAGCTGAAATCATCTCAAACTGGTTTCTTGAGCATGACAATGAGGTCACTGCACTAAGACACCCTCCACAGACACTAGATCTCAATCCAATTGAGCACCTTTGGGATGTGGTGGAACAAGAGATTGTGCAGTCTGCAGATCTGGAGCAACTGTATGATGCTATCATGTCAATATGGAGCAAAATCTCAGAGGAATTAAGAAGTAAGGCAGTTCTGAAGGCAAAGGTGGATTCAACCTGAAAATAGCAAGATGTACCTAAACTAGCATAAAACTTTGGTAAGAGTTTTGATAAGGGCGATTATATTTTCATCAGGTAAAGCGATTAATGCATAAAGAAGACAAATCAAGTTTAATGGTTATCAGTGGACAGCAGTGATTCAGGTTTTACCTCTGAAGTCTACAAGCTTATCGTCCCAGGGTGTCAGCACCATAGCTAGAGCTGTTTTCTGGAGGTCTGACAGAACAGAGCGCTGGTTATCAGTTACTGCAACAGCCTGCTCGTAGGAGAACATGGCGATCTTTTCCTGGGAGAATACCACCTTTTGAAAACAAAACACACAGCGGGGGGATAGAGATAAAGATAAATTAAAGACATGATAAAGATTTGTCAAGATGGACGCAAAAACAGGAATACATTTTTTTTATTGTAAAAAAACAAATGTTACTAAAAAATGATGTACTTTTTACACATATGTAGTTTAGCTCACCTTGATATTACAATAATCGGCCCTGACCAGTGAAACTAATCTTTCTGCCAGTGAAAAGAAGGTTTACGACCCGTTTAATCTCTGACATGATATACTATGGTGTAGTATGGATTGCTGTGGGAGAGTTTGTCATTAGCAGGAATTGCTGTAAAAGTTATTAAAACACATTTAAAAGTCCAAAATAGTATTTCCTCCTTCACATTTTCTAAAGCCATCCAGTTGGCCGGATCGGAGTCTTTGTTGGTTCATTTCTGGCCCCCGTGCTTTATGTTTAACACCCAAGATATGGTTGGTTTAATTAAATCTTGACTCACAGCAAACTTTTTTGGTGCCATCATTGAGATAGCCAAAGGTGCGATTCCCTCAATTTGCTCTTTTACCAGCGCTGACATGGCCATGTCTGGGATACCCACTGAAAAACAAGAAAAGTGTTCCAGTGAAACAGAGCAAAGGGTGCTAGAAACAATGAATCAAATGCTTTTACAGCAAAGCACAGAGGAAAACAAAATGTCTTTGATTTAAATCTCTCACCACACATTAAGGCAGATGTAGGATTATGGATTACAACTAAAATTCATGTGGAAAAGACAATGAATAGACAATACCTGCCAGGACTCCGATCTCAATGAACACATCGGTGCCCCAGGAACTCATGAGTCCAAAAACGAGGCTGTGGGTTAGCAGTTCAACAAGAGCTTGCAGCTGCTCCTCTGAGCAAGACAGCCTCAGCCGACCCAGCCTGAGAACCGCCTTACTGCAGCCATCAGAGGGAGACAGAGTACAAAGTAAATTCAAGTGTCAAGCTGGGCTTGAAAAAATACGCTTCATTTAAGCATTTTCCGATATTGTGCACACCTGAGCTCTATAGGATTGAAAGACCTCAGCTCTGTGGTTTTAGCGCCACACACAATGTATCCCATTGCCACCAGAGTGCTGGAGTCAAGCTGGCTCGGATTCTGCTTGGTGGAGTTTAACACGGTGGAAAACAGTGTGGCCAGCTAGGACGACAACAAGTTATAAACCAGTCTAATACAGCACAATAATGCCACAGCTGGTATTATTCTTATCAGACGAAATAAAAACTGCCCAAAACACAAAGCAATTTTGATGTAACATGTAAATATTTGAACTGCAGTGGCTAAAGTACTTACCTGTCTGCTATTCCAGTCACTGACTGTGCCCAGAGCGGCAATGCTTCTCCGCTCAGTCAGTCGAATGGCATTCAGCTCGTCTAATGATAGCTGTGTCGCTATTACACCGAGCTGAGAGATCACAGCCTGGGAGAAGGATGAGACTGGGCCATATATCTTCATATATTCACGTTAATACCGAGAGGCCCGGAGCAAAGACAGAGCAGAAACACAGTGTTAAGACCTGTAAACTTTGGCCATCATCAAATGAAACACATGTAAGAGGTTTTTGTTGGACTGATTCAGATTAACAATCAGTCTGACCTGCTTGACTTTCCTGAGCACTTCAGTGCGTTGGTAGGATGCAAGAAACGGGTCGTGACCCATCAGCTCCAGACAGTTGGAGAAGGCAGATGAAGGCATGCTAGTCAAACTGCTGGAGAGCCAAACGGAGGGGGCTGTTGTATGCAGAATCTCACAAGTAGGAACCACTGGAGTCACTGGCCAGCAACACACACAAACATATGATCAGGAGATTATCTATGAAAATGGGTCAGCAATGTAATATAACCATGGCTTAGTTTGAAGTTGTCAAGTTTTTTTGTTTACTGAAAAGTATTAGCCAAAGTCTTTCTGAAAAATGTAATTCAAGAAGCTAATTTTCACTATTAGAAGATCAGCAAGTTCTCCTGCTACAAAAGTCAACTTGCAAAGAAATTCATACGCACAAATGTATTACGCTTTCAGCTGTACCAAAAGACAATAATGCAAACAATGTTTAGAAGGATAACAATTCCATCCAAAACAATGCTTGGGTTAATAACTTGTTGTTGTTTTTTTGGACCACTGTTTCAGTTCATTTTCCAGTCTTCACTTAGAGGCGATAAAACGTTTTTTTTCATCAAGCCTGGTCACGTGATTGGATAATAAATAAAAAATAAACATTATCATTCTGTATTTCCAATTCACTCACTAACTTAACTACATTATTCATACTAAATAGAGAGCATCACAAAGCTATATTAACTACCCCACTGCCTATTTTTCATTCAATATGCTGTTTGCCTAC